TAATTCTTGAATATTTTTGTACTACTTGAGGAGTGTCCTGTGGAGAACCCTCTTTTTACTGTAAACTATTTAGTGGATAATTTTTTTGTAAATGTTGATGTAGGTACCTTCCTAATTTAAAATTCGAATGAGTAGTTCCTTATAGTTATTAAAATGTTTGCACCAAAGATATAATCTTTAAAAATGGTTTTACAAAAATAATATAAAATAGACGTAATATTGGAACTAGTATTTATACCTACTATATATACCAGGACCGTTTTTACAAATTATTAATGCTAATATAGATTACCTATAGTATTCGTGACTAAAATTTTCAAATCACCATAGCTCTCTTATTATCTTATAAGCACATTACCAGCATGGACTTTTTATCCTTAGAACACTAAGTTAAATACCTCGAAAACTAAAAACTGTAATTTTGATACTTCCCTCAAATTGTATAGAAAATTTAGTTTATAAGGGGGGTTCTCATTTGAAAAAAAGAAAGTTGTATCATTACAAAACATTCCTAATAAGTATAATACCAAAAAATTTAAAAAAATTAAAAATATGGTCTTTAAGTGGGTTATATATATTAAATAACTGTATTATTGAAGAAATAAAAGGGTAAGCATACTTTTTGAATCACCTTGTATATATATTGGTATGAACCAGTTAGAAAGGGTATATCGTACGCTTTTAAGTTTTGCTGCTATGGTAGGTACTTCACATCGACCACTATTACCCCATGAGTATAATCCAGTATTTAAGCAGTTAGGATTAACAACCCTTGCTGTATCTCATAAATGGTTCTATAGACTGCAGTCCTGTATTTGTAAGTAAGTTTAATTTTAAAATTCTTAGCTTCCACTCCCAAACAACTTACAAGTTTTTCATTCCTCTTTGCATCACAAATTATACTCTCGTAATAAACCGATGTTCAGAATGACGCGTATTGCCAATAAGGAACCGTCATTTTATTTTTCGTAATCGTAACAATGTCCTATGTGTTAAGGGTCCCAGTGCCAGTTTTTCAAATTTTCCTGCACATTCCTATACAATTTTAAAATTAAATTTTATATTTAATATATGATTGTATATATTACAATTATAAGACTTTTCCACTAATGCTAATCTATTACCCGATACCTATTTAGGGGGGGGTGATAGAGTGTATTATATCGAAAAAAATGACTTTACGGGAATAACTCTCAAGCTTTGTAAATTGCAGGATTTTGATGACTATTTTTTTATCTGTAAGAAGAAGAAATCCTACAGCCCGCATCGATCTCTGATTTTGTATTTTATTTAAATTAAAAAATTGTAATAAAATGCTTTTTATCTTGTATTTTTTTAGGCATACCTATTATAAAGTTTGAGAATAAAATATTGAAAAACTGAGTTTGATGCTGGCTATAGAATAGTTCTCTCTAGCAATTAAAAAAAAATTAATGAAATTTGGTTGATTCTACAAGGCGGTGTCGTAGAGTGTATTTTTGAAGACAAAATGGCATCGACACCGGGCGCCTTATTGTAATTTATATGTTATTTCCTGATATTACTATTATGTACTTATTTTTCTGTACTTAGGGCCACGACCCGTTTCGGAATGAAAATATATTCACAAAAACGTCGACGTATCTTTTTTATACTTATACGTGTAAAAATATGACGTATTTGGTAGATTTTTCTCTGCAAAAAAATTGCTGTACAACACGACAGAATTTATGTCATTTTTTTATTCTAATTTTATATATTAATTGGATTTTTCAATCAAGTTAGTTACCTACGTGTTTAAAAATACGGTCCCTGAATCGATCCGCGGCCAGGCAGACCGGTTTCACCGAACGTAAAAAAAAACGATTAATAATAATAATATCATGTTTACTATATTTTGTTCAATTTTTGTTTATCGAATGTATTTTTTATTTTTTTTTTGTTTTCTCTTTCAATACATTGACAAAGAATATAATATTATCATAATATAATAATAATAATATGTTTTATTATAATAATTCAGACAATAAAAGAAACAAAATAAATAACTATCTACCTAAATTGTATACACACACTATTACATGTACAACACACGGGATTATAAAATACTTCATATTATATTTAGGTATATAATAATAATATATTATATAATATTATGTACGTACGTTTTTATTCATAATAATTATTATAAACATATATTATTGTAATATAATTACTGTACACAAATCGACGACACCATTTAGCTAATAAAAAGGAAAATTGTACAACAGTGATTTTAACTTTCCGACGAATTGTATTCCGTCCGACGTACAATTTTTTTACAGTTTAAATTATTATTAATATTTATTTTAATTTTTGTTTCTGTACACAATATTATTATAACAATCTGTCTATGATATCGCTCGTTAAAATTTTACAATACAAAAAAATATACAGTTTCTACGCGACGAAATAATAATAATAATAATAATAATAAAAAGTAAAACAGACTTTTGTAATAATATAATATAATATCAAAACATATTATTTCGTATTCAAATAATATTATGACTTGATAATAATCATAATACTGTAGTAAGATATTATATAATAATATATTATATAAATCAAATAAAAAATCAAATATATGTCCGATGGGGGTATACTAAAAAAACAAACAAAAAAACAAAAAATAAACAAACGTTTGTCGCGGGAGTTTAATAATATAATATTACGAAAAATAAGTTCCGACCACCGAACCTGATAATTTCGGGGGTGATGGAATCGTGTGACGATCATTGGCGCAACTAGAGGGATGGCTATAGGGGAGCTTAGCCCCTCTGACTCAGATTTAGCCCCCCCCCAAAAAATATCCCTTATTGATTTAGATATAAGCCTCCTATGGGTTATTTAACTAAATAGTTTTGTTAGCCCTTCCCTAGAATTTTAACCCCAGTAGCGCCTATATGGAGAAGATGCGTCTGCAGAGAAGATAAATAGTGAAATTCATTTCGACCTACCAACATAATATATTATTATTATTAGAACAATATAATCTATCTACTTTATTATTTTTATGTGTACAACAACATATGCATAATTCATTGATACACATATATAAGTATACAGGTACACCGTTATCATTGCTTTTTAAGAACATAAATTATATTATAATCATATTACATATATTTTGATTTCTTGATGCACAATATTATAATATAGATACAGGTGGTCTTCCGAATGACGCGTGTTAAAAAGCGTCTGATTTTTCAAACGAATCAAAACTTCTATTTATTTACAAGACATGAATATTAAAAAAAAACCGTTACATTTACAAAAAAAAAATTAATTATTGTTTATACAAACACGTTACAATTATATAATAAAACATAATAATAAAAACAGAGATCATAAAACCACCGACGACGCCGACCAGCCGTACTGAAAAACTGTGTACCAAAAACTAAGTATAAGTATGTATATATAATAATATAGATATAATATATTATTAATCAGGGGCGTACCCAGGAATTTTTAAGGGGGGGGGGGGTCCAAATTTTTTCAACTTGTAAAAAGTATACAATAAGTGATTTGCATCTTAAGAATTTTAAATTTTGTTAATCAATGGGGGGTCTAGACCAGAACCCCCCTCTTGGATTCGCCCATGTTATTAATTATTATATACATATAGGTACAAGCCCGTCTCTCGTCCCAGTCCGAGCGAATAAAATTAAAACACAAAGTACAATTATTATTATAATACATAATATTAAGCGCTCATGTTTGCAGTACACTAACAAACATACACTTAAATGAAGTATACATATATATACAATGTAATTACTTTAATATGATTATTATAATTTACTATTAAATAATTATTAAATTGTTCGTCGTCGTGTACGACACTTCATTGTTGTGGAATAATAATAATAATATAAAGATATGACCTACTCACGAAATCACAATATAATAATTTATATATATATGTAGGTAATTGCAGGTATTAGGTGCGATTCGCCTACGCAAGCCACAAATTTATTAAATTATATGCACATAGGTACCTACAACTATCTACTCGCGGACGAGGTAATATGAAACTTTATATCATAAAAAAATGTATCAAATTTTTATACACACGCACACAAACACGCGCCACTACTTCGGCACAACCGCTATATAAGACGACGTTTTTAATGTTTTTTGTTTTTTGTTTATTTTTTTTTTTTTGAATTTCACATAATTTTTCGATTAATCATAATCGATAATATAATATATATAATATATATTATTAAACTAAGTTATGTTTGTACAAAATATAATTAACGTACCTATCAATATAGTATAATACAGTTGCGAAAGAAATCCAGCGCTACATATTTTATTATGTCTATATAATATGTATAAAATAATATATAATAATAATAATAATAATAATAATAATAATATTGTATACACTCGAATCATAACCGCTAAAATATACGTAACACATAATAATAATGAACGAGATATAATTCTGTTTTTTTTTCGAATTTTTTTCTCGGCTTTTATACGTTTAACTATATATAATAATAAAATCATGTAATTAAAAAAATCGTAATAATATTAATTTATACAATTTTCTGTACACGGTATAGTTAAAAAAAAAGTGGTTCATACACATGAGGAGGAGGGGGTTTACTTTTGACTATTTCCATATCTACTAACGATGCACTAAAAATATAATATATATAAATAGTGTAATACAGGTACTGTTGGTAGTCGTGGGGTACTGGCCTGTTTCGCCGGTCGTCGTGGACGTGGCGTGGAGGAATAGTGGTTGTCATCGGTCGGCAGAGAGCAGCAAGTCGTATGCAGTGGCGTCTTGCACCACCGACGACCACGGTAGCTGCGCAGCAGTGGCGTCCTGCACCGCCGATGACCGCGGTATCTGCGCATCACAGTGGCGATGGTGAAGAGCAAAGCTTTTGTCGGTAGGTACCACAAAGCGTGTGCACTGCACCGGGTGAGCGATGTAGCGACGATTACTGCACCGCCGGCGCCTAGTCCTCGTCGTGACTGTCGACGCTGAACGACGGTGAGTTGGCCTGCGAGTTGGCCGGCGAGTTGGCCATCGAGTACATGACGGTCGGCGATATGGAACCGTCAGCCGGAAATCTGAAACTGGTGCCGGCCACGTCCGGCTCGGCCACGCCGTCCAGTCCGGAACCGGAAGGACCGGACTCCTCGCCCCTGTACCACAACTGCCGCATCTCGTTCCTCCGCTGCCGCATCAGCGTCTTGTACTCGGATATCCGCATCTTCTTGCCGTCCACGATGCACGTCCGCTTCGGCCTGGGCCGATACCGGTAGTCCGGGTGCTTTTCCATGTGCAACTTGGACAGCCTGGACTGTTCCTCGTAGTACGGCTGCTTGTCCGCGTTCGACATTGCCTTCCACCGGCCACCTGCAGCCAAAAAAAGGCTCAATTATTATCATCGGATAGGTATATTATAATATTAAATAGATGCGAGAGTAAAAAAAACCAAACGAATCTGCGCCGCCATTGTGGCAAAAGCAAAAAAAGTGGCCACATATAAAGTCAATTTTGGTATCGACCTTTTGGTACTTGACTGCAACTTTTGCCGCATTGGTGCAGAATTATCTTATTATCGAGAGCATCGCTACCCACCTAATATTTTCGAAATGTTCGAATTGTGCATGTCGGGACAGGCTTTCAAGATCTTTCGCCTCTCGTCCTTGGCCCAAACCATGAACGCGTTCATAGGTCTCTTTATATGCTCGCCGTCCTTCTTCTGCTGTCGTATCATGTGACCTGCGATTTCCCAAAACAAAATATTATAATATTATACAAACGATCAACTATCATGTTGCGGTATCATTGTGCAGAGCATTATAGGTACAGTTAAACTTCCATGTGACGAACATCCATTTAACAACATTTTCAGTTTAACGAAATATTTCCGTGGACCAAACGAAATTTGAAAGAAATTTATTTAATTTTATATTTAACGATATTCTCTAAACACACAATGAATTTTTTTTTCCCCATAAGACTTCGTAGCATGGAAGTATCACTGTACATATGGGGCCGTCTTAATCTATAGTCTTTGAAGCATTTGTTTCTACTCACCTTTGTCAGTTGCAGTGTCGTCAATATTGAAATTTGGATCGTTGGGTCTCCAAGCTGTGGAAATAAAAAATTTAAAAACGTGTTAAATACCGCACTGTTATACATAATATTATTATCGTGGACGGAGTACAATATAAGTCGTTTGTATATTATTATGCTTACATATATCCATGTCTACGGAATGATCGTCCCTGATGAGCTGAGGCGGATATCCTTGGAATCTCGAGTACGGCGACATCGTCTCCGCGCTGGGCGATAGGCTTCGTTTTACTGAGATTCAAAAAAAAAAATCAGAACATATGACGACCACATCAATATAATAATAGAAATTTGGCTACGTGAATAATTATCGGGTATAATAGTAATAGTAATAATAATAATACCGTTGTTTTGTATTACCTATATATATTATATTTGTTTTAACTTTTAATAATTGAGTGCGAACTTTAGTCTCTAATTCATTCGTCTACGTTATTTTTACACGAGGTTTTCTATATATACCTATATACCGCTATATATTCAATTAGATCGCGATCGATGAACGGTTCATATACGATAAGGCGAACTGGTTCAAAGTACGCTCTAAATAACACATTATTTTAATTCAGCCGATTATATTATTATTATTATTATGTTTTTACGAACACGTATTTCATTACCTGTGGGATTGAACTATCTATCTATCTCTACAATGTTCAAATGTTGCGAATACGTGCACGTTAATAATTATTGTATTGTTCGGTCCGATCGCACAATAGCACGTTATGAGCTGGAAATATATAATGCACATAACGCATATCATACTGAACTAATAATAGGTGTCTATACAGACTATATGCAATTGCAACAATATACATATTTATTAATTATTATTTGTGTTTATTTTTTACTTGTCTTTCGCGCAATCAAATTCGCTCGTAATGATTTAATTACAAAACAGTATACCCATGATATAGGCTATACTATATGTCTATATAACAATATGATATTTTAACGGTTCGCTATTTATCGATTGACCTCGCGGACGTGCACTGCCGATAACGAATCTGTTTATAAGCGACCTGCAAATGCCGACGACGATTGACCCAAAGGTGGCGCCAAAAGTCGTCGGGCGACACCTTATGCCTTATTGTTCCGTTACGCGCGCCTGACGATTCACCAAAACAATAATTACTGTACATTAAAAAAAGCAAAGCGGACACGTTCGGGTACTTAAACCGGCCGGCATTTATAATATAGGTGGCAGGTTAATCGCTTTTTACGATATTATTATTATTGTTTGGAGAGATATGTTTATTGAAATACCGGCGGCGGCGGCGGAGAAGGAAACAACCTTCGCGGGTGCTATAACATATAGATATAAGTATGTTTATGAACATATGATAATATTGTACGCATAGGCAAAGTACTAATATAATAATATAAATTGTGTCTAATCTAACTCGAAACGAATACAATTATAAATTATTATTATATTATTCTCGTTTTCAAATTATCAAACAACAGCAGGAGGTGCGCGCTGCTGCAGATAACTGGCGAGAGAATAATAATTATTGCATTGAACCGTGTGGCGAGCATAATATAATATAGGTATGTCGATAATGCGAATAATAAGTCGTTAACGGTTCGCCGGACTTCGAATAAACCGATTTCCAATGCTCGCGAGAAAATAATTTATGCGCTCTGAATTTTCGCGACCGGAATTTTCGTCGGCTCGTACGATTTATAGCTCTGCGGTACGTCGGTGCTGAAAAGAAATATGTCTATTTGAACGAATCCGATGTATAATATTATTATTATAATAACATATTATATTATTCACCGTAGGTACAGTATTATTGTAATATAATAATAATAATATTATAACCGGACGCGGTGATTTTTTTTTTCTGACGTTCCAATAATATGTGTTTCCCGACGGTTCAACAGGTTGGCGGACATCGTAAATACATAATAATAATAATAATAATATAATTCCATCGTGTGGAATTTTTCATTATTTTAATTTTAATCCATACCGGTCACCCGGTGGCCGGTTGGCGGAAACGATGGTTAGGTCGGATGGTTAAACCCATCTTACACATCGGTTATAATTTGTATCTATTACTATTTACTATACATTATACAATATTATATGTTTAGGTAGCCTAAGTGTACCTAGTAGTATAAGTACACCGGAGTATCTTGGACGGATCCAGGGCGTGACCTAGGGGCTGAGCCCCCCCAATACGTAATATTCTTCCAATTTTTTTTCTATAGATCCTGATATTACAATATTACAATCACATTGATATGTTCGATACCTACTAATATATATTATAATGTATTATATTATATCTGTGGACTGTGTATCCAATATTGTATCATATAAAAAAATTTACATTGTAATAAGAATAAAATGTATATAAACGTCATTGTATAATGTATTTGTGATGTAAAAAATGTCCCCCCCCCCAGAGCATTGCCATGGTTCTGTGCATGCGCACTCGGACAAGTTTTTGTACTGAATTGCACCACTTACCGGCTCTCGAGCGATGCAGCGGAGCAGTAGGCTGTGGTATGCCGGCGTACGGCATGAATCCCCTGGACACCGGTATGGGCGGTGGCAAGAGTTTCGGAGTGGCCGCGGCCGGTGGACTGACCAGTCCTTGACCGGAACCGGACCTCCTGTTGGCAGTGCCCGGCGTGGTGGCCGGCGGCGAAGACGAAGACGAGTTCCATCCGGCGCCGCCCGGTGGGAACATGTTGTTGGCCTGTTGTTGCAGTTGGTGTTGCAAGTGCTGTTGGTGCTGTTGCTGCTGCTGGAGATGATGGTGTTGCTGCTGTTGCTGCTGTTGCTGTTGCTGCTGTTGTTGCTGCTGTTGGAGATGTTGGTGGTGGTTTTGCGGAGTCGTCGACGACGGAGGATGCGGTTGCGGAGTGGGCGACTTTCGCTTGGTCAGGTTCAGCGGCGCGTCCGGATCGGTGGCCGTCGTCCGGTGTCGCAGCTGCTGTTGCTGTTGCGCCTGAGCAGACGGCGGCGGCGGCGTCTGTTGCTGTTCCTGCTGCAGTTGCATGGAACACTGACTGGCCGAAGACGTCGACGGCGGTCGGCCGTTGTTGGCCCACACAGCTGTCGGCATGACCTGATGCGGAAAGCCAATGGAAAATATTATAATATGTCAATAGTTCAGCGTTAATATAAAATCCCCAACCTCTTGGTACTATATTAGGCTTAATCCTAGACCAACGCCTAACCGGATCTGACCATATAAAAAGTAAACGAATATTTTTAAATTTGAACATTTTAAACTCAGCATGAAAATAAAGCCACTCCTTTACAAAACTCAATTGATGGGACATGACCAAAAACTCAAATATATATAAAATTCAAACTTTTCAATCCATATCTGTCTACACAAATGCCTAGTTAAAGATTAATATTCCTTAAGATTCTATACTCAAATTACACCCTTAATCATACCAACTTAAAAATAAACACAGTAGAAGAAACCGCAAACATTTATACGGCAAATCCCTTAATATCGGCGTTAAATTCCGAAACCATTCCTGGTTGTCAACGGTGCGGTGTCGTGAATTAAATCTACAAATTTTTATTATAATCAAAATTAACCAAGCATTATCATCGGGTGCGTCTCTTCTCACGTGTCTCGTGTCTTACATATATATTATTTATCCGTATACAATCTTAGTGTAAAAATTAAATTATAGATTGTTTGTTTTAAAATAAAGTAAAAAAAAATACTAAATATAGACTATAATACTTTATATTTATATATATTTTAAATAGGGATATAACAACGAAAATTAAAAATCATACAGGATCCCAAGGATCGAGAGGAAAAATCGTAGCTTAGATTAGGTGGGATCGTGATAGTGGTGTAGGTACTCACGTTGCAATTGGTAGACGCCGTCGTGGTGGAGGTCTGCTGTTGTTGTTGACCGGCCAGCGCGGCCGCGTTGGAACAGTGTGACAGGCCGCGCAGTTGGTCCAATAACGGCAGGAAGAACATCGACTGAGGGCTCTGAAGGTTCGGCATCCCTTTCAGGTGGTTGAACTGAAAAACGCAAAAATGGTTGTTAAAGATCAAGTAAAACAACGCTCAAATATGGCCACATTTACAGACAGATTATTTTTATTTCTCGAGGAAAGAAACGAACAACAAATTAAAATATTCATCATTATGTAGTATACAAAAACGAAGTTTTCTGTGATTTGATGTCATGCTGGGCAGCAGTGTAATATTGTGCTACGATTTACGAGTTAGTATTTTAAAAGGGTAACTAAATCTTACATAATAATAATATATAGTTGAGATTTACGACGATCAATTTTTATTTTCATTTAAATAAAACGCGAATACACAAAACTCTCAATTAGCAGAATTACAATAAAACTTTAATGGTCGTAAACATATTTTATAATGCGATGAATTGTCGAAACGAGGGAAAAAATTGTTTTCGATTCGAGGCGAAAATGTGAAACGAATTTTCACTCAACAATAGGCTTCCCGATCTGTCGTCATAAATAACAATATCATATTATATACCTAATAATAATCGTGCTCTCAAATTCTCCCCAACACAAATTCACCGCAGAATTGATTATTATAATAATATTATAAAATATAAGTTGCCAATGATATCGTAACGATTAGCACCCCGAATTTTAAGGCTATAGCATCCCGAATCCCGTTATTATAACTTATATAGTATTACCAACATAATATATTTCCATTATAATAATTATAGATTTATTAAAAATATTCAAAAACAGATTAAAAAAATATTGACCCCCCCCCCATATTTTTGGGTGATTGGCGCCTACGAGTCCTCGGGTGTACCCGCGGTCGAATCAATCATATAATCGATGAATTAATAATATTAATATAATATCTGACGACTAACCTGCACAGTCACGGGGACCGAACGGTATTTTATACACTTTATAATATAATATTATATTATACTGCTCTGCGCGAGCCGCGATCTACTGCAATACTGCGTGCTTGATTAATGAACGTTTGTAGACAATTCATAGCCGACGACGCTAAGTTAAGCGTATACTGATACTGTACACATATGTGTAATATATATATATAATATTATATTATGTGCATTCGTCGTGCTGTGCTCACATCGGAGCCAAGTGTATTAATTCTGCACACGACTGTCGACTAGGGACGGCGGCGGGTCCTGTTTTTTTTTTCTCGCGTCTCGTTTACACACTCCCCCGCTTGACAGTTTTATTGTTCTACGAGACGCGTAGACGATTTTTTTCCACTTTAATCATCCGAATAGTTGGAAATCTTTTTTTTCCCATCTCGTTCGCGCGCCATCTTCCGTCACCGACATCCGCACATCCGTCCCCCCCGCCGGCCCCCCTGCCTAGCGTATATATTATTATAAGATATTCACATAATACATAAAATATAGGTAGATATATACATTATATTATACACACGGCTGCATCAGCACATCCTGCCGCCCAAACTCGCACGTCTACACTCGTTTCTGCGGCGAATATATATACCGTCTCGGCCAGGAATATCGTCGCACCGCATGTGCTAATTTATATATTTATAATTAATATATCGTAGAGAGTGTTCCGGTTTCCGGTCGCGATTAAAACACGTGTTTGCGTCACGACCGCGCGCGGTGAATCATTGTATGCATATAATAAACCATCGTTGCGCAGTTCGATTCCCGCGATTCACGTCCGAAAAAAAAAGGAAATAAATAATAGTCGTCACAGTCGTCTAGTCGTCGTCGGTTCGGCTGACGACGATCCAGAAAAAAATGAATAGACCAACCCACACATGATATGGGTACGCGAGTGCGTGGTCCTTTCCGGAGCGTCATTCCGAAAACGCGAGCGAATTTATATAATATAGAGGTAACCGGAAGTGATGGCGAACTGCAGGTGCTAACCGGAAACTCGCGATAAGACCTGCTCGCACGTTTATATAATAGTACCGTTTCCAAAATAAACAGATCGCCACCATACGTCTCTTCATTCGGAGACACGGATCGTGTAGTCAAGTGAAGGTGCTTATCGTTTGTTCATATTATTCTGTCCAGCTCTCAGCTGGTTGCGAGCACACACACACACCAGCGAGCGTGGGGCATTTTAAAAAGATTATGGCTGAAAGACAAAGTGCGAAATCGTGGCATCGGTCCAGTACTTAAAATATAATAATATACCGTCGTCGTCGTTGTCGTATTATATACGAAAGTTTGTGGCAGTGGAGCCTATATAGCGGTGACATCGGAGGCAACCATCCAATTCTTTAGATTTATTATTATTTATTAGATTATTTAACGCCTATACGACAATTCTCGCTCGTACACACACACTGACACATGTACATGACGGCAGCAATTCGACCGGATAATAGTGTGCAGTATATAGTGAGAGTATGTGCGTGTGCACGCGCGCGCATCGACAAAATGCTACGAAAATAGGTACATTTCGGGATGCAAAAATGTCGCTAATTTTTATACGAAAAGAAAAAAATCGGGTTTTGTTTGGCTTATATAAAAAACAAATTAGAAAAAAATATTCAAGGAGGAGAGCGTGAGGAAGGTTTTTCGGTGGTGGTTGTACTGCACGCGTAAATATTTATTTTTTTTTCATCTCTCTTGCCTTGCAATTCCCGTGCAAAGTGGGTTTACTGCTCGGCATCGGCAAAAGCACTTACGGCTATACGTCACCTCTCTTTCCTGTTGACTTATTCATATTATACAATGCTCGCTTCGAGCAGGATAAAAAAGAAAATGCTTTTAAATTATTCTTTTTGTAGTATTTTTTTTTTTAGACGTGACCCGAAATTTGTGGCGCAAAAGATTTTTGTTATTATTATTATTATTATTATGTATTTCGTGGGGGCGCGAAGTTCATTTATGAATATTGAACGAACCCGGTCGCCACCGCTGCAGCGGTCTTTGAACCGCACGCCTCGTGTTAACCATGACCGCCGCCGCCGCAAAGCCTTTTTCAATATTTAATTCGTGATAGGTATCGATTGCGGGGGGGGCGACTTTTAGCGTTTGTCATTATCGGGCGGCGTTGTTTTACCACCAAAAAATAATGAAATGCCTGTGGCCGGGAAAATCGAAGAAAAAATCGTATAAATTATATGTTCACGTTGAATAATAATAAAAAAATAATAAATAATAACCGCTTTCCCGCCCCGCTCGCCTGCAGCCTTTGGTTTTTTCTTCTTCGTTTTTCATTCTATCGCTTCCTACTCGACCGTCACTCGCGAGTAAACAATGGATACATCGTTTAAAAAACGACGACGACGTCTCGGGGGCAATCGTTATATAAAGCTGACGACGAGGGAGGATGTTGCACCTCACATCGGCTGGAGATTTCAACACTGCGCTCGCGTTTTACGCATATTATAATAACAATATATAATGTATTATTATATAAAGACCGCCGCCGTCGATTCTTGCGGCATCGCGGGGACGACGTGCGTATGTATCATTGTTGACAATATAATAATAATAATATATACTTCAAAGCGAACCGTGTGCGCTGTTTCAGCCCTGCTGCTCCCTCGTCGCCGTGTGTCTCTCGTTATTATTATTATTTTTTTTTTTTACGAGTGGTGTACCGCCGAATGCAAACAATGAAACTGCAGCGTTCTAATTATGCGCCACTATACATATATACTATTATAATGTACATGTTTGGATTTTCTGAGCTTCTTTTTTTCCCTCCCCCGGCGAACCACCCCCCACCCACCGCAGCCGTCCCCGATTAATCTCGGCCGACTACGGTACATATTATAATATGACGCAATACATAAAAACATATAAATATAATATATGTACGTATTTGTTTTAGATTATTGCGCGTGTGTATAGCGTACGTTCGCCGCGGAGGAGTGCAACAGACACTACGCAATATCGAAAATGTATAAAGGGCCCGACCGGAAACCGGGCGAAAGACGATACATAATAATAATAATAATTGTAGCGTAGTACACATAATAATATTGTATATAGCTGCCCGGGATTAGGCGAACAATCATCACCGCACATATACGGTTTTTTCCCTCCAATCGATCCAAATGACATTGTCCGATCGACGGGGGAAAAAAAAAATCCGTGCACTACTTATATTATGGAAGCGAAGAGCACGTGCCGCCGATTTCCGAGATCGCACGCGACCTACCACGGTTTTAGTGTTGTTTTTATATTATTAGGTATATATACCGTGGTATACAGGCATACAGCTGCAGCAGCTAGTACTCGAACGCGCAATTCCAATTATTATCGTATTCGATTTACTAGAGGATACTGCACACGCGTGTCGTCAAATCTCACAGCGGTGCTCGCAGAATCCGATGATTGCTTGCGATTGCACATTTGGTTGCGAAAAAACTAACACCAGAACACATATTACAATATAATAAGTAATAACTATGTGTAATATCATATTATAGTCGGTCTTTGCAGTTTAGTGTTTTGAATTATTCGTAAACGCATTATGGAAATTAGGTGTGTGGAAAAAAAAATATCGAAGAAGAACCATATTATATAGTTGTGTTATATTAATGTATATATATTATAGTACACCTATTGTTTCACAATGTCGAAACAAAATCATTGCGTAACGTTAATGGGAGGCTGCGTAAAACGTGATGACGTTATGGGAAAAAAAAATTATAAAAAACCGACTCTCCACAAATTAAATAATCTATTATTGTTAACAATTTGAAAGAAACCATTTTCGTACAAGCGTATGATATTAAAACACACACTACATTAGAGACTTGGCGTTTACAGAAACCCATAGCCATATGCCTATAATATCATGGTACTATATAATATAGTTTCGAGTGTTTCGACATTATTAATAATATATTGTTATCTGCAGCAGTCCGTTGCAATAATGCGTACACTGATGTCACTGGATTTATATTATATCTGTATACGGTATCATACTATAATAATGTAAAAAACATGTTGGCGAGTTTCTCAACAGATTCCAGTTTATAATATTATGTTATAATAATATACAATTTAACAGTGGACAAAGTGCGTTTAGTCATTAATAACAATATGTGAATAGAACGACATGCCAGGCCCACGGGCTACGCGTAGTTCGGGGGAACAAAAAAAAAAAAAATGGAAAATAAACAGACACCTCGCACCGACGCGATTCACATGTATAATAAACGACGTGATAATATTGTTACACGACATATTACTATCTGCACACGCTTGTAAAAGGTCGTTCAAAGGTTTCGGTCTCAAAAAAAAAAAAAAAAACTGTCGAGGCGCAATATACTAATAGTAATAGTATGCATAACTTATGTTACAGTGTATTGTATTTGCCTATAGATATAACGCAAACGCGGCGCCCGCGGTATATGAATGTCACTTTTGTACACACATATTATAACACAGGTTAGGTGAGTACGATTTGAGCGACTCGGCAGTATACTCGCAGATAGGTATATATTTTTATTATTATTATAATTTTAATAATCGCAGCAGAGACCGACAATATACTCGTCGAACACCGTGTGTGCTCGGGTATAGGCCCTTGAGGGGGTCGTATATAGCTGCTGCTGCGACGACGGCGGTATCAAAGAGATAACGTTGCGGATAACAGCAGAATACGCGAGCGGGCAAACAATGTGGCATTGTACACACACACACACACAAAAGGTATACATTATTATTACAGATATATTATGCGCGTACGTGTGCAGCAGCTATATAGTGATGACGATAGCGGTGAGTGTATTCTCTTTATAACAAACATCAGAGTAATAATAACGTCCCCGCGCGGTCCGGTCGTACCTATATATTATGATATGTGTGTGTGTGTACGATTGTGTATATATGTATATAGGTGAATGGTTTAATCACACAGCTTTGTGTCGTCGACAAACCACCACCCCTCCTCGTACATCACCGAAAAACTTAGGGTCTGACCCACCACCACCCCCCCCCTTCACAGCGGAAACCATCGGGTACATATTATATTCGTCGCGCAGTCGTTGTCCGGCGTTTTTTCTTTCGTCCCTCTGTCGGCGGCTCTGTTGTCGTTTTTTTTTGGGGGGGGGGGTTTGTTATTCTCTAATTCTCTACATATATAGACGTAAGCGTATTATGCGTATGATGCGGTCATTAGCTTCCACTTGTCTCCGCAATAAGCCAAATGGGTTTGTGTCGTGTTCCCCCTTCCCGTCCTGCACGAGCACTGCAATATGAATAGGTATAAACGACACATTTTGCGCGGGGGAGGTTCTTTTCTGTGTGTGTTATCTCGTCGCGTGTTATACAAAACGCAGTATATATGTGGGGATCGGTAACGACGGACACACGAGAAAGGCCAATTACGGTATTAACATTCACAAATTTCGATGAAACATAAGTAACTCTCACTGCTCTCAAAGGCATTATGCGTCAACTACCGGATTTCGATCTACACGGGGAGTGTGGACGAGCCACGGCTTCTCCGCTACTCCATGGTGTTACCGTTCACAGGAAGCAATGACGAGAAAAATATAAAACCCAAATCGACATTTTGTATTTATATACAGTCTTATCGTGTACTGTAAATTAAATTAAAATAATGGAAAAATGTTCCGACCAAAATGGGCTCACTCTTGTATAATGTTCCGAAATCTATTCGTGCTAAATTGCGTTCTATATAACTAGATAATATGCATTACGAAATAATATTGTATTGACGTTTCTTAACAGATTATATTTTATCTACCCAACTATATAATAAAATAATATATTACAACACTTATATGTATATTTTACACATATTTCAGAAGGAAAATAGATCCAGCTATTATATATATACAATATGGTATTCACCTCGGCCACTCAGCTACTGCGGCATTTAATAATAATATATACAAATAATATACAATTATAATATTATGTATTGCATCACGTGAACAAATTCTGTGCAGCAGACACGCACTTTTGTCGACACAGATTGTTCTGGTAAAAAACAATCGTCGACAGAGGTACAGCAAGCACACTCTCACATTATACTACACTTACATCAGACTTCACTATTGGAGGTGACGAACTACGGGTAGGCGGAGAGAAACTCGGCTCCGAGCCGGTATTATAGGGATACGCGGTAATAATAATAATCATAATCGTAATTATTATTAAAAGAATAATAATCGCGTGCAGTATTATTATTATATTTTGCGGCGGCTGCAAGACCCACGGGAGAGCGCGATAACAAGTGGATAAGTCACAATGGCAAACACCGCGCACCATCGTGGCAAGAACACTCTCGCACAAAGAGTTTTCACTTTAGAAATAATAAATTCAAATGAATAATAATAATAGAGTTTTGTGTTACTTCGGTGGCGGAGGTGGGCGACGGCGGTGGTGAAGTGCAGACCTGCAGTGTATACATAATAATAATAATATATACTCATCGGCCGTCCGATCGGCGCGCGAGAGTGTTGTTGGCGGGGGTGTTTTACAAGTGTGTCGCGGTTTTTTATTATTTATTTTTTTAACAACGCGGTTATTTCAAAGAATTATTATTTTTAATGAGGCCTAACCTCCCCTTGTCGCCCCCGCCCCACCCCCCAACTCGAGACACGAACAACAGTAGCGTGGTTTTTCAATACACGCAATATATAACATATAACATTGCCTCCCATATATATATACATATACGCATACATAATAATAATACATGCACTTTACATCGCAGCACACGCGACTATTTAATATATTGTATGGTGAAAATATTAAAAAGTAGTGACAAAATATACCTAACTTTGCGAGTCAAATAAAATTTATCGTCCGTGACGACGAGAGGGTCGATAATACATTTTTATTCCAATTTCCAATAGTATTTATATTATTATAATATTATGTTCTATTATATAGCCTATATAGGTAGCTACCAATACTCATAATACCGTGTGTTGGGTGGTGGTAGTGGTGGTGGTGGTGGGGTGACGTGTACCATCGCCGAGTGCCAAGATAGAGCAATATCGGTTCATTAGGTCGGACAGAACGCGCCAAAATAGTTACTGCGCGATTTCACTTTTCTAAATAAAGGTGTGTGTGTGTGAGCGCTTGTGTCTCGAGTTCTTTCCGGTTAATTGATTAATATCGTTGCCAAAATAAAGTACGAAATGTGTGATAATACTCGGCGGTGTCCTCTCCTCAGTTGAATTGTCTTTTGGATTGCTAATGCCGGCACCTCGACTACTCGATATAATGGAAAATAATCGTTAAACGCCACAGCGAAACGATCTTATTTCTTTTTAATATATTATTAGATATAGCAGATGATAATTATTGATCATATATAATATGATATACTATTATATTATTCGATAAAATATGTCATCTTTATGAATTTCGCCGTTTCTGACATATAAATTCTACACCTGACGCGCAGTTAAACAAAATGCGTAGGTACATTAAAAAACAGAATATTTTGCGTCAATTATAATAATATTCCAATATTAATTATTAGGTACATCGATAACACGTGGAGGGATTTAAACCCACAATTTCGGTTTTGATAATGGACAATTAAATGATTGATGCAAAGGTGCCGCGTAGACCAACATAAATGTTTTATAACTTTTATTTAACGTGCGTCAACTTACCCCTGTAGCCCGCCACGTTACCCCTCCACTACTGTATATAGTAGTTACCTATATATATATAGTGTTACTTTGAGCAAACATAGAACTCGAAGAAAAGCGCATGAAAAATTCAATGGTCACTGCAGTATTAGACGTTTGAGTCGGGGATTAACAATATTCGACATTCGGCCAACGAAATCTCCCATTCGCCACCGCCGACTGCCGGACATTCGGAGCTGTCCGAGGTTCGACAAAGGCGTAAATCGGTGGAAACCTTTTAACGGACCTACCTATATATAACAGGGACTTTGCGGTGGCGTTAAGGACTGCCTAATGCCGACCGCGTCCAGCCCCCCCCCCCCCACGTATATTATACGTAGGTAAACGCGTATAATCTCGTAATCTCCTTGTTCGTCCCGGGCGTAAATGCTTAATATGCGTCTTACTCTTATTTTTCCATCGACCTCGTATATATATAAGCCGTTTGACATTCACCATATGGCCCCTCCCTTCACCCCCTCCCAAAAACCCAAAACCCCCGCCCTCGCATTATACACGAAACTACGGAGCGTAATGCGCCGCGGCGAGCATCCTGTACAACTATATATATATATATTATGTACACGAGCGCGCACAGTGTTGACCTTTTGTTTTCGACAGGAAACGCGTCATATATATATAATTTTTTTTCGACACATTTTATATATGAGATGATATTCTCCGAGCGATTAGTACACGGTGACGGCGGCGGTGATATATTAAATC